AAAACGGGATCTTTGTACGACAAAGCCTCCTGGCTGGTTTATTCACAAAATGGTCGTTAATTTCAGGCAGAACAAAAGACACAGATACATTACATATGGAAATTTACGTCATCATAGAAAAGGCCAAACCTTCGGCACCAAATAGCCTAAACAACGAAAGTCTCTGTGGTCCTTGAGACCTCCACAAGGCCAGGTTATTAATACTATTTTGTCTTGCATTTGTCCACCTGTGCAGTACATAGGTCACTGTTTACCACACATCTGTGCAGGCAGCTTGGCTTTCCTGAGCTGCCGCAGGAAGTACATCCTCTGCTGGGCCTTCTTGATGAGGGAGCTGATGGTCGGCTCCCACTTGAGGTCCTGGTGATGGTGGTGCCCAGGAAACGGAAGGACTCCACAGAGGTGATGGGGGAGTCCATCACGGAGGGTGGGGGCGGGGGGACAGTGCTCTTCCTGAAGTCCACAATCATCTCCACTGTCTTCTGGGCGTTCAGCTCCAGGTTGTTACCACTGCACCAGGACACCAGCCGGTCCACCTCCCTCCTGTAGGAGACACCAGGACACCAGCCGGTCCACCTCCCTCCTGTAGGAGACACCAGGACACCAGCCGGTCCACCTCCCTCCTGTAGGAGACACCAGGACACCAGCCGGTCCACCTCCCTCCTGTAGGCGGACTCATCGTTGTTGGAGATGAGTCCAATGAGGGTGGTGTCGTCCGCGAACTTGATCAGCTTCACGGAGTCGTGGCTGGAGGTGCAGTGGTTGGTGTACAGGGAGAAGAGCAGGGGAGAAAGAACACAGCCCTGTGGGGCTCCTGTATTTATAATCCCAGAGTCCGAGACATTTTTCCCCAGACGCACTCGCTGCTTCCTGTCCGTCAGGAAGTCAGTGATCCACCTGCAGGTGGAATCGGGCACGTTGAGCTGGGAGAGCTTGTCCTGGAGCAGGGATGGCAGGATTGTGTTGAAGGCAGAGCTGAAGTCCACGAACAGGACCCTGGCGTAGGTCCCCGGGGAGTCCAGGTGCTGTAGGATGTGGTGGAGGGCCAGGTTAATGGCGTCGCCTACAGATCTGTTGGCTCTGTAGGCGAACTGCAGGGGGTCCAGGAGGGGGGAGGTGAGGGACTTGAGATGGGAGAGAACCAGGCGTTCAAATGACTTCATGACGACAGACGTAAGTGCTACAGGTCTGTAGTCGTTGAGTCCTGTGATCCTGGGCTTCTTCGGGACGGGGACAATGATGGAGGATTTGAAGCAGGACATGGCAGGACTGCAGAGAGGTGTTGAAAATGTCCGTGAACACAGGAGTAAGCTCACTGGGGCAGTGTCTCAGAGTGGCCGGAGACACGTGGTCCGGGCCAGGAGCTTTGCGGGGGTGCAGCCTCAAGAAGAGTTGTTTAATCTCTTTAGCGGCTTTTGTTAGGCTGGGGGCAGGGCTGATGGGTGGGTCGTTAGAGTAGTGGGGGGTGGGGGAGGGAGAGGTGTCAAGGGCAGCATCAAAGCGACTGAAAAATAAGTTCAGTTCGTCAGCTAGCTTGTGGTCGTCAGCACAGGGGGGGGCTTTGGGTTTGTAGTTGGTGATCTCCCGTAGGCCCCTCCAGACAGAAGCAGTATCGTTGTTACCAAACTGCTCCTGTAGTCGTTCTCTGTGCCGGGACTTGGCTGCTTTCAGTTCTTTCCTGAACTGATATTTAGCTGCTTTGTAGCCGCTGCGGTCCCCCTCCCTGAAAGCAGACTCCTTTGCTTTCCTGAGCTGCCGGAGTTTAGCAGTGAACCAGGGTTTGTCGTTGTTATAGATGACCCTGGTCCTTGTTGGAATGATGCTATCCTCACAGAAGTGGATGTATGACGTCACAGTGTCCGTATATTCATCCAAACTATCTGTGGCAGCTCTGAAAAGGTCCCAGTCTGTAGATTCCATGCATGCAGCTCTTCCACAGCTTCATCAGACCACACTTTGGAGCTCCTCACTGCAGGTTTCGAGAGCTTTAGTCTCTGTCTGTAAGCAGGAACCAGATGTATCATGGAGTGATCTGAGAAGCCGAGGGCTGGCTTGGGAACAGCGCGAAAAGCTCCGCGCACGGTGGTGTAGCAGTGATCCAGAGTGTTCTCCTCTCTGGTCGGGCATTTGATAAACTGTCTGTATTTGGGTAATTCCTGGCTCAAGTTTCCCTTATTAAAATCCCCCAGGATAATAATCAGAGAGTCCGGGTATAAACGTTCCATACACAGTACTTGTATTTTGTATTTGTATTTATTACGATCTCCATTAGCTGTATAAGGCGGCACGGTGGCTGAGTGGATAGCACTCTCGCCTCTCAGCAAGAAGGTCCTGGGTTCAAATCCCGGTCGGACCAGGGCCTTTCTGAGTGGAGTTTGCATGTTCTCCCCATGTCTGCGTAGGTTTCCTCCGGGTACTCCGGCGACCCCGCTCCCATCTCTGTCTGGAGTGAGAGGACAAGTGCCCAAAAAAAAAAATAATAACAATTGTAAACCGCTTTGTGACCCTTGTCTGTGAAAGGCGGTATATAAATAAACATTACTTACTTACTTACTTACTTACTTACTATAAAAACAGTTATTCTTCCTGGAGTCGTTGTCTCACATACATTTTGAAAAAAAAAAAAACATTTCGCTCCTTGGCGTCACATCTGAGAAACAGAAATTATTACATTAAAAACACAAAAACAGAACACAGAATACAACAAAACAAATAAAACTAACAAAAATTCAACTTACATAAACATCCAGTCACTTTCACACAAACGCACACACACGCACACACGGAGGACCTGGTTAGTATGAATGCAATCTCAGTAACAGTGGACAGCAAGATTTAAATGCAACACTCAAATGTAATATCCATGACAAGGAAAACATGAAATACACACTTAGGTATTACAACATTCAAGCATCCACTGCGCCAATGTTTAGGAAAAGTCTTTTCAATTTCAATTTGAATTGATATTTATTATTTTGGTTCATGATATCGGAGGGCAGACTGTTCCAAACACACATGGATCTGTACGTGATGGTATTCTGTCCATAATTTGTTTTTACTTTGGGCAGATTGAACTTACCCTCACTTGCATGTCTGGTTTGATAATGATGGCCTTCTGCACTGAAACTCAACTCTTTATGGAGAACATTGGGCATTTTGGTTAAAATTATATTTCTTGTTAAATTAATTAATTTGACTTTCAGTCTTTCTTTGACTTTTAACCAGGATAACACAGAGTGCATCCAGTTGGTGTTGGTTCGATATCTACATCGAGGAGCACATCGCGCAGCTTTATTTTGAACGACCTGTAAAGCCTTTATATGTGACTCTGCAGCACACAGATCTCTGAACAGTAATCTAACTGTGAGAGTACGAGTGTTTTTATTACATCTACAGTCATATTTGGAATTAACAAACTAGAACATCGTCTGACCATGGCTAAACTCCTGCCCATTCTCTTAACTACAGCACTGATGTGGTTGGACCAGGACAGTCTGTTATCGAGCTGTACTCCGAGAAGCTTGGTCTCATGCACCTGCTCAACATTTAGGTCTTTCACAGTGATTTTTAACTTAGGATCATGTGACAACATATGTCTGGTTCCAAACACAATACTTTTGGTTTTACCAACATTTAAGAGTAATTTATTGTTTCTGACCCAGTCATATACAGATTTTAATTCTTCAGTTAGGACGGTCTGCAGCTCTCCAACTGTAGTTTGTGATGAATAAATAGTTGAGTCATCAGCATACATGGCTATTTTTGCTTTCTGTAAAACTAAAGGAAGGTCGTTTGTATATATGGAAAAGAGGAGTGGGCCTAAACAACTGCCCTGCGGTACACCACAGCTGACATCCTTTTCATTAGAAAAACTGCCATTAAAAAGGACAGTTTGCTTTCTGTTATCTAAATAACTTTGAATCCATAGTGACGCTGATCTACTGAAACCATAACACTGCATTTTCCTCACCAAAAGACTATGATCTATTAGGTCAAAAGCTGAACTGAAATCTAACAGCACAGCTCCTGCTAACTGTTTATTGTCTAAGGCTGTAAGCCAATCATTTGTCATTTGAGCCATAGCCGTAGTGGTTGAGTGCCCAACTCTATATGCATGCTGAAAGTCAGAGCTTAAATTATTCTCTAAGAAATATGTATTAATTTGTTCAAAAGCTATCTTTTCCATAATTTTACTCAATATTGGCAAGAGGCTGATTGGTCTACTATTAGACCCACTGAAGGGTACTGTTGCACTTTTTGGCAGTGGTACAATTTTAGCAGTTTTCCATTCTTGTGGATAAATACTAGTTTGTAAACTCAAATTCAAAATATGTGTGATTGGAACAGAAATAATGTCAGCCACTTGTTTCAATAACTTGGAGTCAATATTGTCTACACCAGATGGTTTTTCTTTACATTCTACAAGCAGTTTCTCAACCTGACGCACAGTCACTTCTTTAAATTCAACTTTACATGTCTTCCCTAACATCATTTTATTAATTAATGATTCAATGTCTGTAGTGCTGGTTTGATCCATTTCACTTAGATGATTTGCTATCATACTTGCAAAACACAGACAGGGTCAGCCAGGCCAAGGTCCTGGTGGCAGCGGAGGGTAAGTGCTGACCGGATAGATGTGAGCATTGTGCTCAGAGTTCATTTAAACGAAAATGCCCAAACCAAAAACCGAGGCAAAGCAACTTGTAGATTTGGCGGAAGAGGAATATGTAAGCCTCAGCCGAGTCAGCAAGCTAATGGATCAGCAAAAGGAAATGTTTAAAGAACTACTTCAACAACAACAGGAGAACTTCAAGGGTTTCATTAAAATCATTGTGGAGACGACAAACACCCGATTGGATGTAATCACAAAAGACATTCAAGAGCTGAAAACAAGCCTGCATTTTACACAAGGTGAAGTGGACTGTCTTAAGCAAGAGAAATTAAAACTCACTGAGCACACAAAGTCTATACAAAACGACTTTTACAGAGTTTGTGAAACCATGCCTACAATCAATGATAAAATGGAGTACCTGGAGGGGCAAAGCCGCAAAAATAACCTGGTCTTTGACGGATTGGTGGAAGCACCAGGGGAGACCTGGGCAGAAGCGGAGGAAAAAGTAAAACGGCTACTGGCGGAGAAGCTCCAGCTGAACACGGTGGAGGTGGAAAGGGCGCACCGTGTAGGGAGACGTGACAGCGGGGCGGACCGGCCGAGGCCAATCATCGCCAAACTACTGCGCTGGAAAGACCGAGAAGCCATCCTGCAGCGTGCAAAATGTCTCAAAGGATCCAAGATCTTCATAAACGAGGATTACACGGACGCGGTCAAGAAGAAAAGAAGAGAACTGATACCGGAGATGAGAGCCGCACGAGAAAGGGGAGCGATTGCTTTTTTACGCTACGATAAACTAATTGTTCGGCCGCACACCAGCACAGCCAACCAAGCTAACCAAGCTAACCAAGCTAACCCAACGTAAACAAAATGACAAACTGCTAGAACTGGTATGTTGAAGTGCACATTTTTCACATGGCCTACAAATTACCTACTATAGGAAGTTCTGACTTGGATCACCCACTAAAGAGAACTGAAACTCTCAATCTGGACTTTGCATACTCTAAGTACGATTCACAGAACAATGAGAGCGAAATTGATCCTGAAATTAACTTTTTTAAGAGAGCCGTTCATGAATGTCAGTATTACACCGAGGACGTTTTCAATGAGAGAGTTACTAATGTAAATCTTTTTTCTGTAATCCACTTCAATAGTCGAAGCCTTAATGCAAATTTCGACCACATCAAGACCTACTTAAAACAATTTTCAAAACCATTTAACGTAATTTTAGTAACAGAGACATGGATTAGTAATGACAGAGAAATGGAGTTTGGTATTGAAGGCTATGAGTTTATAAACGTGAGCAGAAAAAATAAGCAGGGCGGAGGTGTAGCTCTGTTTATAGATTCCAATCTTTGTTATAAAGTACTTGAAAACAAGACAATGACAGTAGATGGTGTACTTGAATGTGTCACAGTAGAAATTGCAAGGGAAAAAATGAAAAATATTATTGTAAGTTGTATTTATAGAACACCTGGGTCTGATATAGATGTTTTTTCTAAATGGATGGAGGAAACATTTTCAAGTTCTAATCAGAACGTCATGTTTGTGGGGGGAGATTTTAACATCGATCTGCTGAACCCAAATAAGCATAGTAAGACAGACGAATTCATAAACACCTTATTCAGTATAGGCTTGTATCCCTTAAAAACCAAGTAGAATCACAACTCATAGTAGTACCTTAATTGATAACATTTTCTCGAATGAAATAGAAAGTGACATAGTTAGCGGACTAATGTTAAATGATATTAGTGATCACCTCCCAGTGTTTGTATTGTACAAAAGTGAAGGTCAGAAAAACTATAACGAAAAAATGTATTGTTTTAAGAGAGTGAAAACAGAGAAAGCCATTGATGCACTTAAAACAGAATTGTTAACCCAAGATTGGAGTGTCATTTACAAAGAGAATGACACTAACAAGGCATATGAGGAGTTTGTGCGAATCTTTCTGAAGATATATGATAAAATCTGCCCAGTGAAAAAATATCGTAATAATAATAGAAAAGGGAAAGTAAAACCATGGATTTCCAAAGGACTACTTAATGCATGCAAGAAAAAGAACTCACTGTACAAAAAATTTATTAAAAATAGAACAACAGAAGCTGAAGATAAATATAAGAAATATAAAAATAAATTAACTAGTATAATTAGAAATTGTAAACAACATTATTACAATAACTTGTTAGATTGCAATAAGAATAATATTAAAGGCCTATGGAATATCTTAAATAGTATAATTAGAAATAAACCAAGAGCGATCAATTATCCGCAATATTTTAAAGATGAAGATAAAACTATAAATAATATGAATAATGTTGTCGATACATTCAATAAGTTCTTTGTAGACGTGGGCCCAAATCTTGCTGCTAAAATTAAGAATGTTGAAAAATACAACTGTGAGCTCATAGACACAAATCCCATGACAATGTTTCTCAATCCTGTTGAGGAGAAAGAGATCCTGGACTTGGTTAAAGGGTGTAAAAATAAAACTTCAACAGATCACTATGACATAGATATGATGACTTTAAAGAGTGTTATTGAAAGTGTTTCTAAGCCACTAACACATATTTGTAATTTATCGTTGAAAACTGGACAATTTCCCGAAAGCATGAAGATTGCTAAAGTGATCCCTCTGTTCAAGTCAGGAGACAAACATCTGTTCACAAACTATAGGCCTGTTTCTCTCTTACCACAATTCTCCAAAATCTTAGAGAAGGTTTTCAACTCCAGACTCGACAGTTTTATAGAAAAACACACATTACTCTCCGATTTTCAGTTTGGTTTTAGAAGCAATCATTCAACTTCACATGCGCTTTTTGACATAATTGAAGATATAACCAATGCTCTAGACAACAGAAAATATGCAATAGGATTATTCATCGACCTAAGTAAAGCCTTTGATACAATAAACCATGAGCTATTAATCAATAAACTGGAACATTATGGGATCAGAGGGGTAGCACTGCAGTGGGTGACTAGTTATTTACAAGATAGGAAGCAATATGTGAGAAGAATGGGTGAATATCAGTCCAGTTATCGAGAGATTGTGTGTGGATTACCTCAAGGTTCCATTTTGGGTCCAAAATTGTTTAATATGTACATCAATGATATTTGTAAAACCTCCCATATACTTAAATTCATCCTATTTGCAGATGATACAAATATTTTTGCATCAGGAGACAATTTAAATCAACTGTGTCAAAAGATTAACTTGGAACTCAAAAGTGTCAGTAAGTGGTTCATACAAAATAAACTATCTCTGAATCTCAGTAAAAGTAAAATGATAATATTTGGCAACTGTAATCCCACTACTCAAGATGTGATACAGATAGAGGGTGCGGTTATAGAGCAGGTACATGAAATCAAATTCCTTGGGGTCATTATAGATGACAAGATTACCTGGAAATCACACATTAAATATATAGCCACTAAGATCTCACGAAGCATTTCAGTCATAGCAAAAGCTAAGCACACTTTAAACATCAGAGCTCTACACACACTATACTGCTCTCTAATTTTGCCCTATTTGAATTACTGCACTGTAGTATGGGGTAGTACCTATAAAAATACTTTAAAGCCGTTGGTGATATTACAAAAAAGAGCTGTGAGACTAATTCATAGAGCCGGGTTTTTGGACCACACAAACTCCTTATTTTTAAAATCAAAAATGATGAAGTTTTGCGACATTTTTGAGTTCCAGTCAGTACAGATGTTATACAAAGCAAGGTACAAACTGTTACCAAACCAAATACAAAGTAGATTTCTTGAGCGTACTGGATGTTATGGATTACGAGGGGAACTAAACTTTAAATCACAGAAACATAGGACCACTTTGAAAAGTTTTAGCCTGACAGTTAATGGCATTCAACTGTGGAACCAATTAGAGACGGCAATGAAGCAATGTCCAAACATTATCTTGTTCAAGTATAAATATAGAAAACAGTGAAAAATAATCCGCACAGCTATGTAGCTCCCAAAAACAGTGTAATTTATTTACATACCACACAAAATAGTTACGTTTCGGGCTGAGGCCCTTCGTCAGACTTGAAAAGCCAGACACACCTGGTAGCATTTTTAAAGATCCAGTCACGTGACCAAAGGCCGTCACGTGACTGGTGCTTATTAAACAAACATGTACATATATGTATATACAAACAAACTCGCAAAAACATATGTACATACAAATACACATCAACAGTATATATAAAAAAGGTCAACCCATCATAATGCTCTTGTGACAATGAACTTCCTTGACATTTTGATATACAGAGATGCCGATAAACTGAGATCAAATCTCTACAGAAAAAGCACTGACAGAAACTCTATCTTACATGGAAAGTCGTTCCATCCAGTACCATTAAAAAAGAGCCTGCCCATTTCACAGTTCAATCGCATCAGACGCATTTGCAGCACAGACTCAGACTATCAACATCAAGCCAAAGAAATGGAGCAACGTTTCAGACAAAGACAATACAGAGAGGACTGGATTTCAACTGCGCGCAGCAGATTTGATGGCATTTCACAGGAACACTGCTTGGAGAACAAAAAGACCAATAAATCATTGCCACAAATCAATTGCGTTATACAATACTCGCCTTTAAGTAAGGACATAGAGCGTATTATAAAAAAACATTGGCACCTGATTCAAACCGATCCAAATCTGAAGAGTTTGTCTGGCCCTCCACGCATTGTTCTCAAGAGACCACCGAACCTAAAAAACATGCTGGTCAGAGCCGACCCACCGTCATGTTCTCAGTCCCACTTTCTACAGGAGATCCCACATGGGAATTACAGGTGTGGACACTGCAGTCAATGCAACTTCACTCAAAAAACCAAAACGTTCAACCACCCGAGAACTGGGAAGAGATTCAAAGTGAACGGTATAATCAGTTGCAATACCAAAAACGTCATATACATGTTAAAATGCCCATGTGGACTTGCATACATTGGGAAAACCACGAGAGAGTTAAAAACCAGGATTGCTGAACATCGATCAAACATTCGCAACAACAATCCAAAGAGTCCGGTGGCGTTGCATTTCACACAATTTCAGCATAATGTGAGTTCAATGAGATACCTGGGCATTGAACAAGTAAATACACCAAGAAGAGGTGGAGATATAGACACTGCTCTACTGAGAAGGGAAGCATTCTGGATTTATACCCTTGAGACTCTGAATCCGAAAGGAATGAATGAGGATTTCGATTTAAGACCCTTTCTTTGATCACATCTCGCAGCCATTAGCACTCCAGAGACTACAATACCAGCTGTGCTGCTGTTAATGTCCTGCTCTGGCTCTGTATCTTTGACTTTTTTGAGACTGTTGTTCAAGACTACTTGTTCCATCCACGTAGCTTTCACTACACACCACTTAAGTAAAACACCCAGACGCACATATTAAGAGCATTATGATGGGTTGACCTTTTTTATATATACTGTTGATGTGTATTTGTATGTACATATGTTTTTGCGAGTTTGTTTGTATATACATATATGTACATGTTTGTTTAATAAGCACCAGTCACGTGACGGCCTTTGGTCACGTGACTGGATCTTTAAAAATGCTACCAGGTGTGTCTGGCTTTTCAAGTCTGACGAAGGGCCTCAGCCCGAAACGTAACTATTTTGTGTGGTATGTAAATAAATTACACTGTTTTTGGGAGCTACATAGCTGTGCGGATTATTTTTCACTGTTTTCTACGTCTTGCATTTTTTAATCCAGCACGCCAGCTCAGATTACAGGGATGTGCGGCCTTATTTGACATTTTCAAGTATAAATATAAACAAAAGATCTTTGAAAAATATAGAGAAATATTGGGTCACCACTAGGGGGTGCAGTGCAATCAATGAATAGCTATTGTTCAAATTGAGTGTTGCTGCTTGGAACATAAGTTATTTATTTTGTTCAAATTCCAGTAAGGAGAAATAGGGCGAGCTGTGCATCCGTTGAGAGGTACCTCCTCCCAAGGGATCACACATCTTTTAATGCATCACTCAGTATAGAAAGACAAGAACATTTAAAGTTTACATTTACAAGAGCAGCTGATAGGGCAGCTGGGTGGGGTCTGTTGGTGAGGAGTCACTGCCGTCTCCAACTGGCTTTACACCCTGGCTTTTTATCGCACAACACTACATAGGGTCACTGCCTACTCTGAAAAAATAAAAAAATAAAAATAAAAATAAAAAAATAAAAAATAAAAAATAAATTAAATAAAATACAAAAATAATAATAATAATAAATAAATAAATATAAAGAAATATTCTGATTTCTAGCTGCAACATCTCTTTTTTTGAGCGAAATAGGTTTAATTTGTTCACAGTAACTTGCTGTCAGTATATTTAAAATAATAATATGGTGATATTGTGTCTCTTGCTTTGTGGAGATCTGTCTTAACCAGACTGTTGTTGTGTCTCACTCTGGTAATAAGATTAAGAACAGTTCAAAGTATATTGAAACTGCCTTGAAACATAAACTTAAAATCTATTTTGTCCTTTTGTCAGTGAGTCCTTCTGGTCTCTCTCTGGTAAGTAAAGTCAAAGTTAATGTCATGACATATTCTTTACTCTGTAAATTGATAAATTGATTGTGATTGTTCTGTTGTTCAGTATGAGCAGATGTAGCTCTTGTGTGCCTTTATATCCCTGTTCTGAACTATATTCAATATGTAAATTTCGATTGTAATTAGCTTTGGGGTGCGGTGCTAATAAGCTTTTGCTTCAGCCCACTCCTTTTGTGCAGTATTAATACTGTTCAAATAAATAAATAAATAAAAAATATATATATATATATCCAAGGGCTTTGTCATAAACTGCCCGTCTGATTCCAGAAACGATGGTGTGGATTTGGCATTTCTTCCAAGCATGTTATTTAGAACGCTCCATAATTTCTTACTATCATGTTTATCATTTTTTATCATATTTTCATAGTGCAACTTCTTTTTCTTTTTGTTTAACTTTGTCACATAATTTCTCAATTTGCGGTACACTTGCCAATCAGATTCTAGATTAGTATTGTTTGCCATATTTTTTGCCTCATCTCTTTGTCTCATGAAGTCCTTCAATTCCTCATCGATCCAACCCACTCTGGTTTTCCTCACTGTTCGCTTTCTTATAGGAGCGTGTTTATTGCTCACTTCCAAAAATAATTCATTAAATCTTTCTACTGCAAAATTTGGATTATCAATCCTTAAAATCTCATCCCAGCAAATATTACGGACATCTTCATAAAAGTGCTCAGTATTAAAATTTTTGTATGACCTTTTTAATATTACCTTAGGGCCCTCTTTAGGGACTTTTGTCTTTCTTACCACTGCTACAAAGTTGTGGTCACTGCAGCCAACAGGAACTGATACAGCTTTACTACAGCGATCTGCAACATTTGTAAGAATATAATCAATTAGTGTAGATGTTTTTGTGCCATCTCGCCGACAGCATATTCGAGTTGGTGTGGTTACAAGTTGGGTTAAGCCACATGTCTCAGTAATTGAATAAAGTTTACTTCTCAATGGGCACTGTGCATTATTCCATTCAATATTAAAATCTCCCATGAGAAAAATATGGTTTTGATTATCACACACATTGTCTATCATAGTGCACATGTCCTCTAAGTACTCAGCATTAGCATTAGGAGGGCGGTAACAACACCCCACTAGTACTGGTTTTAAATATGGAAGGTGCACTTGAAGCCACAGTATTTCAATATTAGGCATCATCAAGTCCATTCTTATCTTGGCAGGTATATGCTCCTGAATGTAGACAGCGACTCCACCACCATTAGAATTTCTATCTTTTCTAAATACATTGTACCCTTGTATATTAATAACCGCATCTTCTATTGTAGAATCTAAATGAGTCTCTGTTACAGCCAGGATATGTAAATTATATTCTAATATAATATTTGATATTTCAATAGTTTTATTCCTTAGGCTGCAAATGTTTAAATGTCCTAATTTTAGACCTTTTTTAGGGAGTTTAGCAGAAGAAGCCATCATCCTGGATTATATTGGATGTTAGGATACAAATTAACCATTTTAACTGCCATGGAGGTCAACTCTGTATTTGCATTCACAGTAACCAGGTCCAATCTTACACCACATACAGTCACATTCACATGGGACATATTCACACATCCATCACTCTGATCTGACACTGAACCACACTGACAAGCATACAAACATTCACTCACACAGGACAGATTCAGACACAAGAGCACAAAACTACACACCCACTCCAGCACACACACATGCACACAGTCACTCTCACTCATACACAAACTGTTTTTCAGAAAAACACAACAAAATAACTTAAGAGAAATAACGAATTAACTAACTTAATACCAAAACCGCGCTATTTGCTCCTTCTTTAAATTCTATAGTGACAATTAATAAACCCCTCTTGCCAATATTTATTTATATGTCCTTTATTTATTCAATTGGGCTTAATTATTCAACAAAAGTAGGCTCCAGTCCAGAGTATTATAATGAGAAAGTTCTAGGACGTGTTCAAAATGTTAGTACCTGTGGCTTCAGGTGTGAAGTGCACTCATTTGTCCTCTGCAGTCTTTATGCAGTCTCTCCTCTATCAGTCACTACATTCCACATCCCCTTCATCAGCTCACCCTTCAGTGTCTCCATATCCTCCTCCTTCACGTGTATCCCCAGGTCACGCAGCACCGGGGCTGCAGCGGCAAGACTTGGGAAAGACTTCGCCCCCCCATCCATGAATATTTTCAGACGGGCGGGGTACGGGGACTGCGCTCGTATGTTCCTGTCCTTCAGCTGCTTGATCACATCACGTACTTGTCTCCGCTTCTTCATAGTCTCTGCAGTATAATCCTCATTGAAGTACACCGGGTGTCCCTCGTACGCGGGCTTGAATCTCCACGCGTGTGTCATGACCAGTTCTTTCACTTGAAAGTGCAGGAAACGAACAATGATGGCTCGGGGACGGGCCCCACTCTCCTTCAGTGTGTGCGTGGGGATGGACGGGCCCCACTCTCCTTCAGTATGTGCGTGGGGATGGACGGGCCCCACTCTGCTTCAGTGTGTGCGTGGGGATGGACGGGCCCCACTCTCCTTCAGTGTGTGCGTGGGGATGGACGGGCCCCACTCTCCTTCAGTGTGTGCGTGGGGATGGACGGGCCCCGCTCTCCTTCAGTATGTGCGTAAGGATGGACGGGCCCCACTCTCCTTCAGTGTGTGCGTGGGGATGGACGGGCCCCACTCTGCTTCAGTGTGTGCGTGGGGATGGACGGGCCCCACTCTCCTTCAGTGTGTGCGTGGGGATGGACGGGCCCCACTCTGCTTCAGTATGTGCGTGGGGATGGACGGGCCCCGCTCTCCTTCAGTATGTGCGTGGGGATGGACGGGCCCCGCTCTCCTTCAGTATGTGCGTGGGGATGGACGGGCCCCACTCTCCTTCAGTGTGTGCGTGGGGATGGACGGGCCCCACTCTCCTTCAGTGTGTGCGTGGGGATGGACGGGCCCCACTCTCCTTCAGTGTGTGCGTGGGGATGGACGGGCCCCGCTCTCCTTCAGTATGTCGTGGGATGGACGGGCCCTGCTCTCCTTCAGTGTGTGCGTGGGGATGGACGGGCCCCGCTCTCCTTCAGTATGTGCGTGGGGATGGACGGGCCCTGCTCTCCTTCAGTATGTGCGTGGGGATGGACGGGCCCCGCTCTCCTTCAGTGTGTGCGTGGGGATGGACGGGCCCCGCTCTCCTTCAGTATGTGCGTGGGGATGGACGGGCCCCGCTCTCCTTCAGTATGTGCGTGGGGATGGACGGGCCCCGCTCTCCTTCAGTGTGTGCGTGGGGATGGACGGGCCCCGCTCTCCTTCAGTGTGTGCGTGGGGATGGACGGGCCCCACTCTCCTTCAGTATGTGCGTGGGGATGGACGGGCCCCGCTCTCCTTCAGTATGTGCGTGGGGATGGACGGGCCCCGCTCTCCTTCAGTGTGTGCGTGGGGATGGACGGGCCCCGCTCTCCTTCAGTATGTGCGTAAGGATGGATGGGCCCCACTCTGCTTCAGTGTGTGCGTGGGGATGGACGGGCCCCGCTCTCCTTCAGTGTGTGCGTGGGGATGGACGGGCCCCACTCTCCTTCAGTGTGTGCGTGGGGATGGACGGGCCCCGCTCTCCTTCAGTGTGTGCGTGGGGATGGACGGGCCCCGCTCTCCTTCAGTGTGTGCGTGGGGATGGACGGGCCCTGCTCTCCTTCAGTGTGTGCGTGGGGATGGACGGGCCCTGCTCTCCTTCAGTGTGTGCGTGGGGATGGACGGGCCCCACTCTCCTTCAGTATGTGCGTGGGGATGGACGGGCCCCGCTCTCCTTCAGTATGTGCGTGGGGATGGACGGGCCCTGCTCTGCTTCAGTATGTGCGTGGGGATGGACGGGCCCCACTCTCCTTCAGTGTGTGCGTGGGGATGGACGGGCCCCGCTCTCCTTCAGTATGTGCGTGGGGATGGACGGGCCCCGCTCTGCTTCAGTATGTGCGTGGGGATGGACGGGCCCCACTCTGCTTCAGTATGTGCGTAAGGATGGACGGGCCCCACTCTGCTTCAGTATGTGCGTAAGGATGGACGGGCCCCGCTCTCCTTCAGTATGTGCGTGGGGATGGACGGGCCCCGCTCTCCTTCAGTATGTGCGTGGGGATGGATGGGCCCCACTCTGCTTCAGTATGTGCGTGGGGATGGACGGGCCCCGCTCTCCTTCAGTGTGTGCGTGGGGATGGACGGGCCCCGCTCTCCTTCAGTGTGTGCGTGGGGATGGACGGGCCCCGCTCTCCTTCAGTATGTGCGTGGGGATGGATGGGCCCCACTCTGCTTCAGTGTGTGCGTGGGGATGGACGGGCCCCGCTCTCCTTCAGTATGTGCGTGGGGATGGACGGGCCCCGCTCTCCTTCAGTATGTGCGTGGGGATGGACGGGCCCCGCTCTCCTTCAGTATGTGCGTGGGGATGGACGGGCCCCGCTCTCCTTCAGTGTGTGCGTGGGGATGGACGGGCCCCACTCTCCTTCAGTGTGTGCGTGGGGATGGACGGGCCCCACTCTCCTTCAGTGTGTGCGTGGGGATGGACGGGCCCCACTCTCCTTCAGTATGTGCGTGGGGATGGACGGGCCCCACTCTGCTTCAGTATGTGCGTGGGGATGGACGGGCCCCACTCTGCTTCAGTGTGTGCGTGGGGATGGACGGGCCCCGCTCTCCTTCAGTATGTGCGTGGGGATGGACGGGCCCCGCTCTCCTTCAGTGTGTGCGTGGGGATGGACGGGCCCCACTCTCCTTCAGTGTGTGCGTGGGGATGGACGGGCCCCGCTCTCCTTCAGTGTGTGCGTGGGGATGGACGGGCCCTGCTCTGCTTCAGTGTGTGCGTGGGGATGGACGGGCCCCACTCTCCTTCAGTGTGTGCGTGGGGATGGACGGGCCCCACTCTCCTTCAGTGTGTGCGTGGGGATGGACGGGCCCCACTCTGCTTCAGTGTGTGCGTGGGGATGGACGGGCCCCGCTCTCCTTCAGTATGTGCGTGGGGATGGACGGGCCCCGCTCTCCTTCAGTGTGTGCGTGGGGATGGACGGGCCCCACTCTCCTTCAGTGTGTGCGTGGGGATGGACGGGCCCCGCTCTCCTTCAGTGTGTGCGTGGGGATGGACGGGCCCCACTCTCCTTCAGTGTGTGCGTGGGGATGGACGGGCCCCACTCTGCTTCAGTGTGTGCGTGGGGATGGACGGGCCCCACTCTCCTTCAGTATGTGCGTGGGGATGGACGGGCCCTGCTCTGCTTCAGTGTGTGCGTGGGGATGGACGGGCCCCACTCTCCTTCAGTGTGTGCGTGGGGATGGACGGGCCCCACTCTCCTTCAGTGTGTGCGTGGGGATGGACGGGCCCCACTCTGCTTCAGTGTGTGCGTGGGGATGGACGGGCCCCACTCTCCTTCAGTGTGTGCGTGGGGATGGACGGGCCCCGCTCTCCTTCAGTGTGTGCGTGGGGATGGACGGGCCCCCTCTCCTTCAGTGTGTGCGTGGGGATGGACGGGCCCCGCTCTCCTTCAGTATGTGCGTGGGGATGGACGGGCCCCACTCTCCTTCAGTATGTGCGTGGGGATGGACGGGCCCCGCTCTCCTTCAGTATGTGCGTGGGGATGGACGGGCCCCGCTCTCCTTCAGTATGTGCGTGGGGATGGACGGGCCCCGCTCTCCTTCAGTATGTGCGTAAGGATGGACGGGCCCCACTCTGCTTCAGTGTGTGCGTGGGGATGGACGGGCCCCACTCTCCTTCAGTATGTGCGTGGGGATGGACGGGCCCCGCTCTCCTTCAGTATGTGCGTGGGGATGGACGGGCCCCGCTCTCCTTCAGTGTGTGCGTGGGGATGGACGGGCCCCACTCTCCTTCAGTGTGTGCGTGGGGATGGACGGGCCCCACTCTCCTTCAGTGTGTGCGTGGGGATGGACGGGCCCCGCTCTCCTTCAGTATGTGCGTGGGGATGGACGGGCCCCGCTCTCCTTCAGTGTGTGCGTGGGGATGGACGGGCCCCGCTCTCCTTCAGTGTGTGCGTGGGGATGGACGGGCCCCACTCTCCTTCAGTGTGTGCGTGGGGATGGACGGGCCCCACTCTGCTTCAGTATGTGCGTGGGGATGGACGGGCCCCGCCAGGGCTGGACTGGGACAAAAAAACGGTTTGTTTATACCAGGGATCGGCAACTCAAAAGGTTCAAAGAGCCATATTTGACAAAAAATTCTAAAAACATCTGTCTGGAGCCGCAAAAAAATAACGGCCTTGTATAAAGCTTATATGAAGGTTACACAATGTAGCTACATTAGCTACATTAGCCTATTATCTAAATGACCAAGTAAAGGCTACAAATACATAATAAGCATTCATGATTGTCAAATGTGTGTTTTCACTGCAGCGTGTCCTGGAGAGAATGATGCACCACGTGATGACTCTGCTTTAACTTTGACTTCCATTTTTTTGCCTTCATGCAACTGTAGAAATACAGTAAATAAATCTGCTTTTTGGCTCAAAGGTCACACACCTGCACTGTCCGCTCATATCGATCACGTCACAGGCTGAAGTTTGCTGGAGCTGAATGTCCTTAATGGCCTTTTCTTTCACAGTCTTTTCGGAGGTTTTTGAAGTCTGAAAAAGGTGCTCCGGATTTTGTATGAAAGAATCCTTCACGTAATCCCTGTGAACGGTATTTAGTGCTTCATTGTTCCTCGTGTTGCAACAAAACTTCCTATTACATCGCAAACATGAAGCAGTCCTTCCTCATTGACTGAAAGCAAATGTTCAGTCTTGTTCTTAGTCCAGTCTTATTATCGACTCGTTCTCTTTTTATCTTTGGGATCCGTGCCACACGCCGGTTTGTTTACAGCAGCGGCCGCCTGCCGCGGGGCCGCGCCGCAGGATATGACTCACTACGTTGACAGAAATGTTGAAATTGAATATTACTTATACACATTTTTACAGCATTGAAATACGTTAGGAATGTTTTTCCTCCAACAGAAACCACATTCAAACTAGGAATAAAATATAGCCCTCACACTCCATTTTCAGACATTTTTGAAAAGGCTCCAGGAGCCACTGGAGGAGCACTAAAGGTTGCCGACCCCTGGTTTATACAGTATGTGGAAGCATACTGTAGAGCAGTGGTTCCCAAAGTGGGGTCCGCGGCCCCCTGGTGGGCCGCGAGGGTACTGCAGGGGGGCCGCGGGAGGTCATAAAAAAAATTAAAAAAGAATATAATTATTTAATGTTAAATTTATAATGTTTTGTTTGTAATATTCAAATATTTGTGTTCATTATTTGACTTGAATAATCCACTGTAATCATTTTTGTATTACAATGTTTGTAGCAGAAGCTATTTCCCCAAAATAAAATAACCAGAAGAGCCTATTCTTAATGTTGTCTTCTTGGTTATTATTTTGGGGGGCCACGCAGACCCGTCAGATTTTTAAGGGGGCCTCGGTGTTACTGAGTTTGGGAATGGCTGCTGTAGAGGATCAGGATGTCTGCAGTTTCAACAAAAAAATAAAGTGCAATAGTCTACATTACAAGAGTAATAAACATGTCTCAGAGTGAGGGAGGTGGACACAGACAACACTATTGTTTGTTACAGGGATGAGAATTGGTCAAAAAAGTCTGAAATGCATAATGTCAGCCATTGGCTGGCTCTAAATCTGTTTAATTTGTTCACAACATTTTACTTTTGGGCTTAAACATGAACTTTTAATGCAATGGAAAATTTAGGCACCCGAGCTTTAATTTAATCGCACTTCGAGAGGAGAGGGGAGACGCGGACTGTTTCCTGCAGCGGTGTATTTATTGGGTGCACAAATTACGCAAAGACACGCATGGTCCTGTGCACGTTTATGGTCTTGGGTACATGGTCACGTTGCGGCTACGCGCTCACCGTGTTGTGTTGTGAGCGGCTCCCGGTGAGCGGTTCCCGCGTTCAGCTCAGAGCCGCTGGATGCGGGAACACTGCGGCCGCTGAGGTGGTGGAATCCCGTTCGAGTACATACAGCAGGTGCCCCGCGGACACGCGCGCCCCCTCGAACAGTTCTCAACGGATTTACACTTTTCACAAACATCTTTTTTGTATGAGGCAAACAGACCGGCCCAAATATGGGCATCGGCCCTTCTGGCATTGCCCGGTACGCCCGATGGCCAGTCCAGCCCTGGGCCCCACTCTCCTTCAGTGTGTGCGTGGGGATGGACGGGCCCCACTCTCCTTCAGTGTGTGCGTGGGGATGGACGGGCCCCGCTCTCCTTCAGTATGTGCGTGGGGATGGACGGGCCCCGCTCTCCTTCAGTATGTGCGTAAGGATGGACGGGCCCCACTCTGCTTCAGTGTGTGCGTGGGGATGGACGGGCCCCACTCTCCTTCAGTATGTGCGTGGGGATGGACGGGCCCCACTCTGCTTCAGTGTGTGCGTGGGGATGGACGGGCCCCACTCTCCTTCAGTATGTGCGTGGGGATGGACGGGCCCCACTCTCCTTCAGTATGTGCGTGGGGATGGATGGGCCCCACTCTGCTTCAGTGTGTGCGTGGGGATGGACGGGCCCCACTCTCCTTCAGTATGTGCGTGGGGATGGACGGGCCCCACTCTGCTTCAGTGTGTGCGTGGGGATGGACGGGCCCTGCTCTCCTTCAGTGTGTGCGTGGGGATGGACGGGCCCCGCTCTCCTTCAGTGTGTGCGTGGGGATGGACGGGCCCCACTCTGCTTCAGTGTGTGCGTGGGGATGGACGGGCCCCACTCTGCTTCAGTGTGTGCGTGGGGATGGACGGGCCCCACTCTCCTTCAGTATGTGCGTGGGGATGGACGGGCCCCACTCTCCTTCAGTGTGTGCGTGGGGATGGACGGGCCCTGCTCTCCTTCAGTGTGTGCGTGGGGATGGACGGGCCCCACTCTGCTTCAGTGTGTGCGTGGGGATGGACGGGCCCCACTTTGCTTCAGTGTGTGCGTGGGGATGGACGGGCCCCACTCTCCTTCAGTATGTGCGTGGGGATGGACGGGCCCCACTCTGCTTCAGTGTGTGCGTGGGGATGCGATGCGCGCGCTCTATCTGTAGATCCAGGTCCGTGGGAAGTTTCAGAGAGTTGCAGATAAACTCTTTCACAAATGCAGTCACGTCATTCTTCTCCGCTCCCTCCGTGATCCCGTGTATCCTCACATTCTTGCGCCTCGATCTCGCCTCCAAACTCTCACACTTTGCAGCGAGTGTTGCTCCCTGCTCCAGCAGAAGGGTCACAGCCTTCTCCAGACGCGTGGTCCTGTCCTCGGTCTCCCCCAGCCTCACCTCTGCAGCCGTGGTCCTCGTCTCCAGCTTAGTCATTTGCTCAGACACACTTTTAATGTCTGTTTCCATCTGTTTAAGCATTTTGCCGTGATCATTAACGGCCTTTGTGTGCTCTTGTCTTAAGGCTCTTATTTCATCCAATATTTCATTCTCGCGTGAACGCGCCTCTGCCGTGCACGCGCCCGCCGGGTCAGAGCCTGTTTGCGAGTCTTTATTGTCCTTTACGCCGTTATTCTTCACCATTTTTCCAGTTTTCTCTCTCTGTCGTGTTAACATAAGAGTGAAGCTTGAATCACAGTCCTTTTACTGTCCTTTTTCATTCATGGAACCTTACTTTTACTTTAATCGGAGCACGACGCGCCACTCTCCTCTCACATGTCACACCGGAAGCGGAACATCATCAGAGCAACCCTTGCTCTGCGAGTGCGCGCTGAGCCTCGCGCGCGTCCGCGCATGACGGAATGTAAACAGAGGCAAGAATGAATGAAACAAACTCACGAGGGGAGTAAAATGGTTTACAATGAATGAAAAGATATTCCAGAGCAGGAGAGCAGTGCTTGGAGATCACTGTCACATCGTTACACCAGTTTGTATTGACGTAGAAACACAGCCCACCGCCTCTGCTCTTCCCTGAGAGCGCACAATGGCGATCCGTGTGGAACAGCCCAAAGCCCTGCAGCTCCAGAGCGCAGTCCGGGATCCGCTCATTTAGCCAGGTCTCAGTGAAGCAGAGGACACAGTGGACACCAGGTCTCAGTGAAGCAGAGGACACAGGATGAAGTCCTTGTTTCTTCTCATGAGCAGGCTGAGTTCGTCTTATTGCCCAGTGAGCGTACGTTGGAGAGAAAAATGCCGGGGAGAGGCTCCTCTCCTCCTCAGACGCACGAGCAGCCTCCACGCTTTCCCCTTTTACGGGCCCACACTTTTTTGGCTAGAACATGAACTAAATCAGCCGCAGATGCCAAGAAAACAGGCAATAGGTCCATGGGAACGGTGGGTCGGATGTTCATAAGTTCCTCACGGGTGTAGGAACAGCCAGATGCACAAATGGGGAGAATGAGGTTTACCTTTTCAAAACCAACACAATCACTGATCATAGGCATTCAAAATGCACAGTGTCGCTCCCGTCAGGGCAGTAGGAAAATGGCGCGTCAGCGCCACCTCCTTTGCGCGGTGCGGCGAGGGCCGTTAGATGCCGCTTGCGGCTTTAATTTTATTTGTTCTTATAATCTACATCTTATGTTCATGGCTGAAACTTGGCTTGACCAAAATTCAGGAAATGCAGTTTTAATAGCAGCATCACCACCAAATTTCAAGTTTGAATCTGAAATACGGGAAAACAAAAAAGGAGGAGGCTTAGCTGCCATTTTCAGAGACCACTTTGTCTCCCATAGAATGTCTCTAGGAAAGTATTCGTCATTTGAATATGTGTCTTTTAAAATACAACAAAAACAATCTCCTTCAATACTCTTCATTGTCATATACAAGCCACCGCAGTCACAGTTTTATTGATAATTTTACCGAGTTGCTTTCAGTTGTATGCACAGATTTTGATAGTTCATTTATTACAGGTGATTTTAATATTAATGTGGATAATGTTAAAGACAGAAATGCAAAAGAGCTGAGTTCTTTACTTGAATCCTTTGATCTCACTCAGCACGTAAGTGGCCCCACCCACAGCAGAGGGCACACTCTAGATCTGTTAGTTACAAAGGGGGTGAACATTTCAAATGTAAACGTGGTCGATGTTGCTCTTTCGGATAATTTCTGTGTATTTTTTGACATGTGTTTCACTAACAAACCACCAGTGGACTCTCCAACTGTTCGAAGAAGACACATAAATGAAAATACGAGTGAACTATTTATGGGAATGATAAACTTTGAGAATGCATCGTATTCTACTGTAGATGAACTGTTTAACTCTGTCACCTCTAGTGTTTTGAAAGTTCTGGATACCGTTGCCCCTGTGAAGGTTAAAATAGTGAAAAATAAGCAGAAGGCGCCGTGGGCTAAAGCAGACTCGATCAGGGCACAAAAGAGAAAGTGCCGGAGGGCCGAGCGGAAGTGGCGCAAGTCCAACCTCCAGGTAGATTACGAGATCTTCAAAGATAAGTTGTGCGGACTTCCGGTGAGCAACCAAAATGGCGATAGCCTAACCTCGTGGCTTCCCGAACAAAGTATAGATACCCTCCCTTTTCCCTTGTATTTGAGAGTGCCAAATTGATAAACGAGTAGGAACAACTGAGAAGAAATGACCCGAGGCAAACAAAGTAAGTCTGTGAGACTCCAACCACGGCTAGTCCAACTAGCCAAGCTGCTAGCACTTCAGACACGGAGGGGACTACGGAGGATTTAATGGCTAATGACTCGGCTAATTTACAAACTATACTACGTGAGCTAAGGAGTTTACGACGTGAAAGTGGAGAAAACTTCTGCAAGTTCAAAGAAGAAATTTAAAAAGTTAATACGAGACTTGACGACGCTGAAGATCGCATTGACGAAGTGGAGAATAGGACCCAGCGGCTTGAGGAAACTACGCTTGAACTCATAAAAATACAAGAGGTACTCATCGCAAAAATCTCTGAGTTAGAAGGAGATCGCGAAGAGATAATATTCGAATTCACAGTATCGCAGAGGGCGCAGAAGACGGATCTCCATCTGTTCCTGACTTCATTAAGAATCTGCTCAGGGAAAAACTGGATTTGCCCCAGTCTCTGGACTTGACCATAGACAGAGCGCACCGCTCCCTGGGATCAAAGCCGCCACCCGAGGCCCACGATCAGTGGCCCACGATACAGTGAAAACAAGTTTTCACTGTATCGGACCAAGGATGAAGTTTTGAAACGGTCATGGCAAAGAAAGGGATTTACGCTGAACGAGAAAAAGGTGATAATCGATCACGACTATGCCCCTGATGTGTTGAAAAAACGACGTGAATACAACGAAGCTAAACGGTCTTGAGAGAAAATAATATAAGATTTCAAACCCCATACCCGGCGAGGCTGAGGGTGTTCTACGAGGGAGACACACGGTGTACAGTACAGCAGCCGAAGCAACAAAGGATATGGCCAGCTGGATATACAGTCACCATTATAACCCCGCAGACATCATTGGCCGAAAAACTCAAAGGCACAATGTGGCACAAAGTAGCGCGCACAGAGGAAGCGAAAGTTCCACTCGAGGATACAAGAAGAGATTGGAAGCTTTCCGAAGACAATGATCAAGAAATACGTTTTTCCCACCGGGGAGGAAGAGGGGGGGGGGTCACCTTATGAAGAAATACCGGGGAGCAGAGAGCAGAAATGCACCAACCAGCTAACGCCACTAGAGGGCGCTGCACAGCCATCGGGCGGTACAGGCTTTCCCTCTACATCCTCACAACACTTAACACACAGGTCACTGAGGAGACCGCAGAGAGTCACTCTGTCTTTTTGGACTCATAGTTTTGTTGAAGAAAAATGTTTGTTAAAATTGTTCATTGTTTTGTTTTGTTTGAGTAGCGTAGGGAACCACCTGCTTATATACAATAATGAAACCAGCAATGGCCTCTCCATCTTTAATTCGCTTCAGTACATATAATGTTAAAGGAGTTTTAGGGCCAATAAAAAGAGCCAAGATTTTGGGGAAAATGAAAAGGGAAAAAATTGGAGTGGTTTTCTTACAGGAAACTCACTTATCTGAAACGGAACATCAGAAGTTAAAAAGACAAGGATTTGGTCACGTGTTTTCTGCATCCCATGTTTCGGGTCTGAACAGGGGAGTGGCCACACTCATTTATAACAAAGTTTCGTTTGAAAAAACAGCCGAACACAAAGACAAGGAGGGTCGATATAATATGGTCATAGGTCGACTTGAAGGTTTAGAGAGTACCTTTATTAATGTTTATGCCCCCATAAACATTAATAAATTACAGAATTACAGAATAGAATAAAGACTCAACTACTTTATCCAAAACAGAGCTATTATGAAGCAGGAAGTAAATCCACAAAGGTCCTGGCCTACAGACTTAAAAAACAACAAGCAGAAAGGTCTGTTACAAAATAAAAGATCCCTCTACCAATGAAGTCACATACAAAGAGTTTGAAGTTAGAGACATTTTTGCTGGATATTATCGGAAACTTTATAGTTTAAAGGAGCCAGATAAGGAAGATACGACCTCACCAACGTTAAACCAATTGGAATTGCCTTTGCTCTCTAGTGAACAAAATACAACTTTAACATGGAGTATAAATGCTCAGGAACTGGCAAAAGCAGTTAAAAGGCTCAAATTGAATAAATCTCCAGGTTCCGACGGCTACAATGCTGACTGGTACAAGATATACCTGGAAGAACTCTCACCTCTACTCCTTAAGACATTTAACTGGGTTTTGAACGGGGGCCGAATCCCACCAAAAAGCATTTGACACTGTAGATTGGGCTTTTCTTTATAAAGTACTTTCCAAATTTACCTTTACCGAAAAGTTTATAAAAATAATACAAGGATTATATAACAAACCTATAGGGAAAATTAGAATAAATGGAGGTCTATCAAATCCTCTAAATATTGAACAAGGTTGTAGACAGGGCTGTCATTTATCTCCGATTTTATTTGCCAGTTTTATTGAGCCCCTGGCACAATATTTCAGACAAAATAGAAAGATAAAAGGCATTAAAGTGAATGAGAAGGAACAGAAGATAGCCCTGTTTGCTGATGATGTCCTAGTTTACTTGGATAAACCACTGAATCTCTTCCTCAACTGCATAAAGTTTTAATGGAATTCAGCAACATCTCAGGCTATAGATTAAACTCTCATAAATCACAAGTATTGACATTCAACTACAACCCTGAAGATCCCATAAAGAAAATATTTAAAATCAATTGGTGCATGGACTCAATAACATACTTGGGAGCACATATTCCAAAGGACATACAAACTTTAAAGTCAATAAACTACGATCCACTTATTGCTAAAATTAAAACTGATTTGGATAGATGGAGCCTGATCCCCATCTAGGACTTTTACACAGAGTAGAAGCAATTAAGATGGTAATCTTGCCTAAACTATTATATCTATTTCAAACAATACCTGTTGACTCTTCAACAACAATGTTCCAGGAACTGGATAAATTATTTTCAAGGTTTATCTGGGAAGGGAAAAACCCTAGAATAAGATACAAAACTCTACAAATGGCAAGAAACAAGGGTGGACTCTCTCTTCCAAATCTGAAGAATGATCACAGAGCGGCCCAACTAAGCCCACTGTTTGATATTTGCAGCTCATCATTTACAGCAAAATGGAAAGACATTGAATATAGATCTGAAGTAACCCCTGTACCGGCAATCATTGGCAACACTCATTTAATGAGTAATGTAAGGGATCTTAACCCATGGACCAAGGCAGCACTTGATCTGGTCAAAAATAATAAAGGACAATCCAAAATGCACCCTTATGAAGGACTTTACCCCAAATGTAGGAGATAAAACATTTAAAAATTGGTCTGACAAAGGTTTAATGACTTACAATCAGTTTTATCATAAAGATCAAATAAGGAGCTATCAAGATTTGAAAAGGACCTACAATCTTGACAACAAAGACTTTCTCCGATACCTCCAGGTCCGCCACTACTTGAACCAAAATTATAGAGACCATACAAATCAGCTGTCGGGATTAATAACAATATTTATAAAAGCATATCAGCAAGGACCAAACCATAAGTTGATTTCTAAACTATATGATGAGCTGCAAAATTTGCAGAATGAAAATATACTGTATATTAAAGAAAAATGGGAGAAAGAGGGTAATCTCTCCATACAAATGGAAATTGGTTTAAAATCCCTGTTAATGACAACATCCCCAGTCCAGAGAGGCCCAAGTGCTGACACTTCATGTTGGAGGTTATGTGGAAACGGCCATCACCACATATTCTGGAGTTGTTCAAAAATAACCAATTACTGGATGGCTATTAAACAGGGCATTGACACAGTTTTTGGCATTGATGTTCCTTTGAATTTTGAAACTATGTTTTTGGGGATACAACCAGACTGTAGAAAAGGGGCGAGTAAAAAATATATGTGGAATGTTTTACTGACAGCAAGCAAAAAAGCTATCACAAAGAAATGGATGACAGACAGAACACCTGTGTTGGGGCTGGATATCACTTGTTAAAGACATTTTTCATATGGAGAGAATGACTTTTGCACTAAGACTGGATCACGACAGATTTGAGGACTATTGGAAATGTTGGACACATTATACCAACACTTAAGGACACGTGTGATATCCCTTTGCTACTCAATTGTTCTTTTGTTTTTGTTCTATCATGTAAAAAAAAAAAAGTGTTAACAAATGTACAAATTCTAATGTACCATGTATGTAACATCATGTAGATTGTTAATGTAAGAACTGCTGATCGAGTCAATAAAAACATTTTAATTAAAAAAAACCAAAAAAAAAGATAAGTTGTGCGAGTTTAACCGGGTGCTACGTAGTACGAGAGAAAGGTATTTTTCTGAAATGATTGAAGGCTGCAGCAACAATCTGCGTGTTCTGTTCTCAACAGTTAATAGATTAACAAACCCCCCTGTTCAGATGCCATTAGAGCTTACTTCCAAACGTAAATGCAATGAGTTTGCTAATTTTTTCAATGACAAGGTTCAAGGCATCAAAAACGCCATTGTCTCCAATCCACAGATAACCATCCAACAGCCAGAAAGGCTCTTTGAGCTAACTCACTTTGCACCTGTAAATGATAAAACTGTCCAAGAGATAATCTCCAGTTTGAGCTCCTCCACATGCAGCTTGGATGTACTACCCACTAGATTTCTGAAGTCTGTTCTGAGCAGTCTGTTACCTTCACTCACACAGATAGTAAACATGTCCCTTCATTCTGGAATATTCCCAAAGGCCCTGAAAACTGCAGTCATCAGGCCCCTGCTAAAAAAGAGCAGTCTGGATGCTACGGTACTTAACAACTATCGTCCCATCTCAAATCTGCCATTTATGGGGAAAGTCCTTGAGAAAGTTGTCTACCTACAGCTTACTAGATTTCTTATAATCAACAACTCATTTGATATGTTTCAGTCCGGCTTTAGACCCCACCACAGCACTGAGACTGCTCTCGTTAAGGTTACAAACGATATCCGGCTGAACACTGACGCAGGCAAAGTCTCAATCCTAATCCTGTTAGATCTAAGTGCTGCCTTTGACACCGTCGACCATGAGAGCCTCTTACAGAGACTAGAGGACTGGGTTGGCGTCGCTGGCACCGCCCTAAGTTGGTTTAGGTCTTACCTTGAAGACAGGAAGCTTCAAGCACCAAGGGGCGTTCACACCTCCCTTGGGAGGTGTCCCGAGGAGGAGGCCCCTGGGAAGACCCAGTACACGCTGGAGGGTCTCTCAGCTGGCCTGGGAACACCTTGGGTTCCCCCCGGACGAGCTGGAGGAATAGGGTATGTGGATAGGGAAGTCTCTGCTTATACTGCTGCCCCTGCAACCCGGCAACAGATGAAGCGAAATAAAAGGAATGTGGAAGTTACAGTGGATCAAAAATGGGACTTCTCGCGCAATTTTGTGCATTTTTACCAATTATTTTTGACTAATTATTTCTCTTCTTATGGACAGCACGACAACGAAAACCGTGAGATCGCCCGGCATGGTGCAGCCGGGGCCCCACCCTGGAGCCAGGCCTGGGGTCGGGGCTCGTATGCGAGCGCCTGGTGGCCGGGCCTTAGCCCACGGGGCCTGGCCGGGCTCAGCCCGAAGGGACGACGTGGGCAGTCCCTCCTGTGGGCCCACCACCTGCAGAGGGGTCTGTGGTGGTT